TTTAAATTAATTCTTATTTTTTCATATAAATTAAAAAATATAGCTTTAGAAAATTCCTATACTATTAATGAAATAGACCCATAAAAATTATTTATCACATTTCTTAAAAAAAAAAAAATTCTGATAATGTGGGGACAGCAGTTGTCCATGCCAAGAGCCAATCTATCCCCCATCTTCTTGGAACACCTCAGAGTTCCAATGAAAAACCAGAATTGCTCTGTCAAAAACCCAGAGACGATATTGTTTCATTATTTTTCTCTTCATTGAAAATGGCATCTTTTACTCTCCCAAGGCACACTCTTCCTTTTTTACTTCCACAACATACTCCCAGGACCCATTCTCCTTCTCAAAGCCTCTCAATTCCCTCCAAATCATCACAGTCTCAATTTTATGGCCTCAAGTTTTCTTATTTTTCATCGGGGTCTATCCCATCTTCTTCCTCTCTGAAATTTTCTGTTTCTGCTAAGGTACATTGGTTTAGCTTTTGATTTGTCACGGGTTTTTTTTTTTTTTTTTTGCCTTTTTTGGTACTTGTGGATAATGTGTGTGTTTCTTGTTTTGAATTACAGCTGGATAAAGGTACTGTCCCTCCTTCATTCACACTGAAAGATCAGGATGGGAAGAATGTGAGTCTTTCAAAGTTCAAAGGGAAGGCTGTGGTTGTCTATTTCTACCCTGCTGATGAAACCCCAGGTTGCACAAAGCAGGTAACTTTTTATTTATGTCTGTGTCGCATGTCTTTGAAACATTTTAAAGCTGCTGTAGACAACAATGAAGACAAGGAGACAAGGTTTAGCGTTTTTTATTTTCTCTGCTTGTTTGATGATTGTGATTTTTGGTTTAGATCAATAAAAATGATTAAATATGTCTCTAATGCAATATAAGCTGAGGGGGACAAAGTAGTACGAATAATACTTTTGCAGGCCTGCGCTTTCAGGGATTCTTATGAGAAATTTAAGAAAGCAGGAGCTGAAGTTGTTGGGATAAGTGGTGATGATCCATCATCACACAAGGTAATTCAAGCCTTTTGGTAAAGAGCAAATTTTAACCTGAGAGAATATCATTCATACTTTAAACTATTTCTGACCTCTCTTCAATGTTCCTGAGGACCCGAGGTCACACATAAACTCCTCCAAATGAGCTGAAACATGATAGGCTTCCTTGCTGACTTTATGAGAAACTCTGATTCTTATTCTATGCAGGCTAAAAACAAACTTAATTCCCTTTTTTGCCATCAATAATTCCACAGCAAATGCATCAAATCCTGATAGGGGAACCCAAATGTTTATCACTAGCTCCCTGTTTTCTGCAATTCTGCTGCACCCACACAACTAGACATATTTGCAAGTTTTTCTAATGCCAGTTGTTGAATAGAGAAGTAGAATGTTATGTAAGTAATTAAAGGACAGGTTCAATTAACTAGTGTAGTGAAATTATATGGCTGCCCTGATTTTTAACAAGAAATTTTAATTACCATGCACGTTATTATGAGACGTAAGCACAATTATGCATGTAGATGTTTGGAAGCTGTCATGTCTGGATATCATAGTTTCAGCTTGTATACATTGTCCAAATTGCTAAAACTTGCTCATATTGTTTTCATTGGTCTAGGCATTTGCAAAGAAGTATAGACTTCCATTTACATTGCTGAGTGATGATGGTAATAAAGTAAGAAAAGAATGGGGAGTGCCTGGAGACTTTTTTGGAGCCTTGCCTGGAAGACAGACTTATGTTTTGGACAAGAAAGGGGTGGTTCAACTCATCTATAACAACCAGTTCCAGCCTGAGAAGCATATTGATGAGACCCTGAAACTGCTTCAAAGTCTTTAAACTACCCTAGAGATTTTCTTATATCTTCCTCCACCACTTTAATCTCTTATGTGGTATTTGACAAGTGTTAATTCTTGTATGATTCAACTTTAGACTACCTTGCGATTATTGTAGTTGTTTTGCTGCGTTTGCATCCATCATTTCCCAAATAGATGATGATATTTCGTCATTAGGAAACTTGTCAAATTCATAGAACTACAACATATAAGAATCAAGGATGGTATGTTGGCATGGTGGAGTATCATGCTTTTTATTTATATTAGTATATATAGTCTTGATTCAATTGTGTTAACATGGTAACATTGTTGGATGGTATAAAGGATAGAGAATTTGAGAATATTCCTCCATCCGGACAGTAATCAAACACAGTTTCGTAAACTGCAATTGGCTTCGACAAAAATCTGACACAATGACTCTTGTACGATACGGTGAGTGTTGTTATCTCGTCTGTCTCTTTTTGACAATTATCAACCAAAAGTCACCTGACCTTTCGGGTCAATTGGCACTCTAGCCAGTTTGAAATGCATTCTACTCTCTTTAGTGGGCAGATTTCGAGCCCACCCCTTAATTATTTGTTCAAAAAAAAAAAAAAATACCAAGCAAAAGAGACATAAATTATTGTAACATATATAGGTCTAACTTTTCTTTACATGGTATTGATTTCCTACTTTATTTTAACCTTTGATATGAAAAAAGAGAATGACATATTATGTAGATGCATACATATTTATATATATATATATATATGAGAATAGTACTTATTTATTTTACCTCATAAAATTAAAAGAAATATTATTATAAAACTACATCATTTTAATAAATATTTATTAAAAAAAACTAAAATATTTTATTTTTAAAGCATGAATAAGGTTTTTTTTTTGTCTTTTTTCTTCTTAATTTTTTGAAAATAAAGTGAACAATCACTAACTCCTATATATATATATTTTATAGAGATTCAATTTCCCTGTTCATAGTCTTGACTGCTATAAGGGCTAAATGCTTCTGATAACCAGTTGTTCTTTCTCCAATAGTTCCATCCCATTTCTTCACAGATTTCATCACTGTGGTTGATGCTAAAAGTAGAGATGCAGTGCCTCTTATAAAACCTGGTTGACCTCTTCATGACCTCCATCTCTCTGGATATCTGTTCAATCATCTCCTCCACAGTCGGAAGCTTAAACTTTTCATCAATGAACCGTGCCAGCCAAATGCTTCGCATCTCTGCAGTATGGAGGTTGGAAACACTCTCGATATAACCCACAAAAGCCATGTTTGGGATCAAAGGATGGATTGTTCCCCTAAAAACAGCAAGTTCGGTTAGCATTTCTTTATTTCTTCAGAATCAAGAAACCTTTTATATGATCATATTTGTACCTGTATAAGGGTATAATACCAGAAGGGTATTCTAGCAGACTCCGAAAAGGCTCTGGTAAGATTGATTTGAGTTTTTGCTTGCCATCATAACCAGTTGCGAGAAGAACAACATCAGCTTCCAACTTAGAGTTGTCATCAAACTCGATTCCTCCTCTCCAGAACCACCATTTTGATGTTCTTTTGAACAGAATCTTCCCTTTATCAGCCTCTGCAAAGAAATTCTCTGGCATGATCGCCATCTGGCATGATGCATAGTCTTCCTCAAATGGGTGATCTGGTTTCAATCCATATTTCTGCAGGGGTTGTTTCCAGAGCAGGTATGACTCAATAAATTTCGAGACTCCCTGCCTCTGTCAAGTGAAGGAAACCATTAATTCACCTTCGGTAAAAGATTAAACAGAAGGGAAATTGAAGAAAAAAAAATTCTGAAGTTTAAAGTTACCACTGGAGATAAAAGGTAGCAAAGAAGGGCTTCGAGGAAGCTCTGGTTTGGCCTTCCATGCAGGAACTGAGAAAATCTTGTTGAATAGAACAGAAAGAAGGGCAGACCCCAAACCCTGTAATGGGGAACTGTCCAGTGTACGGTCCTTAACACCATGGTACATGGTTGTCCTTCTGGCCCTATATTTCATCAAAAAATGAAAAATAATTTAAGTTAGTGAAGAAAACGTCCTATATATGGCAGGATTGGATTCGAAATCCATATATAACCATTAAAAGACTTTGCCAACTCTACCTTCACACACCACAGCTTTAATGCTCTTGAAACTTAGTTGTCTTATCTCAATTCCCACAAGCTCAGATTAAGAAAAATTGGATCGATTCCTAAAATTCTAAGTTGCGATTGGAATGTTGAAGACGTGCACATTCATTTAAGTCCAAGCAGATTATTCTGTGTGTGACTTTGACTCTTCCACCCCCCCTTCTAATTTTCCTATCCCTTTCGTCAAAAGTTTTGGGGAATTCCTTCATGCAAATTTGACGTTCAAAAACTGGACCATCCCATTTGGAACACTAGCCCTCACCATTTCTATTTCTGATTTCTACAAACATGCGTAGGACACATGTAGGTACAATAAAGTCCACACATAAGAGCCACCAGATTGGCTGTTTGGACCCCTTAGACTATAATTTTTGTTATGTCTCTTTCCCAAATGGCCCAATAAATTTTCTTTTGGCATGTAATAGGCAGATGTATACAGATCAGTTTTCGTGTATCATATTTAGTTCGCCTTTTTTCTTTGCTTAAAGGTAATTTGCTTACGTTAATATAAAGAAATTGAAATGGCTTTGACAATTTTCACGGTTGAAAAGAGAACTATCTATTGTTTTATATCTTATGTTTAAATAGTTAATGATTTAACATAAAGTATGGGAATTTGTACCTTGGTTTGCTTCTGCACACTCCATGGCTAAATCAATGCCTGATTTCTTGAAGCCGACGACTGCAACTTTCTTCCCTTGGAGTAGCTGAGTTGCAGCTTCTTTGTCCAGTTTGCAGTAGTCAAGGGCATGCAAGACCTTGCCCTGAAACACCTCAGGGCCTTTGTTGTGTGGGAAAACTGGAATTTTTGGTACATCTCCATATTTTCCAGTACAAACTATCAGAAATTCGAAAGCATACCACTGAAAATGAAGCACCGAAAAATATAAGTATAAATCACTACACTCTCAAATTATTATGAAAAAATGTAAAAAATATCAACCTTAACGTTGTCAGAGCCGTTTGTCTGCACAGCGACCTCCCAAGCTGGCTTGCCCTGCAATGGACGTTCATACTCCCCTGGATTTCCTGTGAGTTCTCCAGTTCCCGTCCTTTCACCGACGAACCGGACCTCCACCACCTTTGAATTGAACCTAACATGCTTCAGCACATCAAAGTGCTTAGCATAGGATTCCAAGTACTCCAAAACCTCAGTATGAGAAGGAAAACCAGAGTCTTCCCTATTAGGCCAAAAGAAATCGGTGAACTCGTAGTCTTTACGAGCGGATTGAAGCTTAGTGGAGTTGTAAGAACAGCTTCTCCACACCCCTCCAATGGAATCCGAGGCCTCGAAAACAACCGGGTTGTGGTGGGAGAGCTGCTTAGCAGCGGCTATGCCACTAACACCAGCCCCAATGATACCAATTTTTGAGATAATCAAAGGGTTTTCCACGGAGGTTGCCATGAGAGAGAGAATGTATGATTCGGAGTTTAGTATGCTATGAAAGGTGATGAAGAAAAGTTTAAAAGTGTCCTTGTGTATTTATAGCGGCGAGGAGAGGGTTTCATGCTAAAAAGCACGTGAAATGGACTTTCTTGGCACAGGGAAAAGGTTGGGGAGAGGGTTTGCGGTTGGTAAAATGGGAAGAGGATGACCATTTCCTTCATAAATATTATACTTAAAAGTTGAAATGTGAAATTGGTAGGTTATGGAAGAGAAATTTCGTTACATTTGTGTGTGTTTCCCTTGCCTTGTGGAGTTATGTTTGTTTAAATTTCTATGGAATTTCAAAGTTCAAATATTTCCAAAGTGATGTAACTTAGATGTATACATAAGTTCATTACATTAATTAGACAAGATACAATTTTTTGTTTAATATATTTTACAATATATTTATTAAAAAATTATTATTTGTAAATTTGAATTAAATGTAAAAAGATTTTCAGCTATATATTTTAATGGCTAAATCGAGAGGTTGTTAACAAAAATTAAAAAATGTATTAATAATTTTCTCATTAATTATTACTACTTGCTGTTAAAGTAGTATTCATCAAATATATATACATATAACTACTTGCTCTAAAAGTAGGTATACATATATATAACTACTTGCTCTAAAAGTAAGCCTTAGGAAATTTGTTCCCACAACAGCCACCTTTAATTAGTTAACGAATTTTATATAAATTCAGTTATTCCTAATCCTATGTGTTCATACATAATTAATTATTCATATATGTCATGGTACGTAATCTAATACTAAGATCAGATATATAATTGGTCGTTACCTAAATAATTTGAGACACAAATGATGGTTCATCAAAAAAAGAAAAGAGACACATAAATGATGATATTTGGTTGGTGAAAAGTGAATACAGGTGCAAACTTAAATGTTAGATTTATTAATCAGTAAATGTGATATTATAAGTTGATTTTACCTTTCAAGTCTTGAGGTAATATTTAAAAAAATTAATTTTTTAAAGTATAATAAATTAATATAGAGAATGTATCTTTAAAATTAATTTATTTTAAGATATATAAAAATTAGTCCAAAAATACCTGATTGTAAAAAAAAAAAAAAAAGTGAATACAAGTTGAAATGCACGGCTAAAACTAACTTTTAGCCTCTCACCTTATAAGATCGGTAGGTTTTAACTCTTAATCTTATAATATGATACTTTTAGCCATTTATCTTACAAAATTGATAGGTTTTAACTCCTCACCTTATAAAGTTGGTAGTTTTTAACCTCTTATCTGTATAATTGAAGAAAATTTCCCTTATTTAACATCAAGTTATAATATTCTATTAGTTTTATTAGCTGACTGTCAGTTCTATTTACTGATTTTTAGTTTTGTTAACTGACTGTTAGTTCTATTAGTTGACTGTTAACATCTGTTAGCATTCCGTTAATAGAACTAGTAAATAAAATTGAATTTAAATTTCATATTTTTTATAACGAGATACTAATAGTCAACTAACAGAACGCTATAATATGATATTTGGTGAGGGTTATTTTCTTTAATTCATATCGGTGAGGGGTTAAAAATATTATAATATAATATAAGAGATTAAAACTTATCAACTTTATAAGGTAAATGGCTAAAACTTACTAATTTTGTAAGATAAAAGGTTAAAACTGTTATATTATAAGGTGATGGGTTAAAATTTATCAATTTTGTAAGGTGAGGGGCTAAATGTTGGTTTTTGCCTAAATGCGCATGGTCTTCTACACAACTGTCTCCGCAACGCGAGGATCTAAAATGTTGCTGTTATTACCAAAAAATTATTGATGTTTCACTTTCCAAATATCAATCATGCTAAGAAGATCTTCATCGAAGCCCACGGTGGCCCAAGTGGCCACCACAATATTGTTAGAGGC